GCTGTCAACTCTCGTCCTGCAGGGGGTGCTGGGCCTGGGGGTGCGGAGACTGGGGGTGCTGAGCCTGGGGGTGCTGACTCTGGGGGTGCTGAGCCTGGGGGTGCGGACTCTGGGGGTGCTGAGCCTGGGGGTGCTGACTCTGGGGGTGCTGAGCCTGGGGGTGCGGACTCTTGGGGTGCTGAGCCTGGGGGTGCGGTGACTGGGGGTGCTGAGCCTGGGGGTGCTGGGTCTGGGGGTTCTGACTCTGGCGGTGCTGGGCCTGAGGGTCTTACACCTGGACGAGACCTCTCCTCGGAGCAGTTGCGTGAGTGGTACTTACAGTACTGCAGCCTCCGGAGTGTTACCTCTGGGACCAGGCGTACTACAGGGACTGGTGCTGGTACTTCTCCTCCTAGTCGGGAGCTCCCCTCTCGTGAGCGGATCCGTGAGTGGTACGAGCGCCGTTGCACACTTCGGAGTGGAGCGCCTCGTCTCACGGACCCGGCTGCCCCTGGTGCTACGGACCCGGGCGTTGGAGCTGCTGCTGGTGCTGCGGACCCTGGCGTTGGAGCTGCTGCTGGTGCTGCGGACCCGGGAGTTGGAGGTGCTACTGGTGCTGAGGACCCGGGCGTTGGAGCTGCGGCAGGTGCTGTGGACCCTGGTGTTGGAGCCACTGCTGGTGCTGAGGACTCGGGCGTTGGTGCTGAGGCTAGTACTGGGGACCTGGGCATTGGAGCTGCTGCTGGTTCTGGTACTGCCGCTGGGGGTACAGGTGCTGTCCCTGCTGTGTCTGCAGTCGCCGCGCGCCCTCAACCGTACTTCGTTCCGCTCCTTCAGCAGGTTCTTGGTCTCTCGCATCCTCCTGGTCCTCCTCCCTTTGCGTGTTCACAGCCTGTCCCGTCACAGTTACAGTTGCAGCCGACCTCCCCACTACCTGCTCCTTCTCCTTACACTGGTCCTGCTGGCGGTCTTACTGAGCGTCGTGAGTCTGCGTCTCGTCCTGCGTCGCCTGTCCGTCCTGCTAGCGCTAGTGCTCGTAGTTCGCGCGAGCGTCCTCCTCCTGCCCCTGGCACGCACCGGATGTCTCTACGTCCGTCTACTGCTCCTCTGCGTGCCCCTTTGCCTTCTCCTCCTGCGTCCTCTCTTCCTGCTCTCGCCGACCCTGCGTCGGACTCTCTTCGTGCTGCCAGTCCTACTGTCACGCGTCTCCTTGCTACTGCCGTCACTGACCCTTCTTTCGAGTCTTCTGCTGCGTCTGCCCTAGTTGCTGAGCTCGTCGACTTTGCTGCTCACTGTCGCCTAGACTACGCTGCGAGTCTTGTCGCTGAGTCTGAGTCTGTCTGTCCTCCGTCCGTCGGGGGTGCGTGTGCCCTTGGCACGGACGTCCTTGAGGACCAGCAGGAGGAGTTCCAGTGCTTGGCCGCTGCTTCACCTCATCTCGTGTCCGTACTGCTTACCCCTGAGGGAGACCCGGATGCACTTGACATCCCGACTCCGCGCTCTTACGCGGAGGCGATAGAGGGTCCCTACTCCTCTCAGTGGCAGGCAGCTATGGATGCAGAGATGGCTTCCTGGAAGTCCACAGGCACCTACGTTGACGCTGTCCCCCCTCCTGGGGCGAACATCGTCAGTGGCATGTGGATCTTCAGAGTGAAGCGGCCGCCGGGTTCTCCGCCTGTCTTCAAGGCGCGTTACGTGGCTCGTGGCTTCAGTCAGCGGCAGGGAGTTGACTACTTTCATACCTTCTCCCCCACCCCGAAGATGACCACTCTTTGGGTACTGCTGCACGTTGCTTCTCACCGGGACTACGAGCTGCACTCTCTCGACTTCAGCACAGCTTTCTTGCAGGGCAGCCTGCACGAGGAGATCTGGCTGCGCCGCCCACCTGGCTTCACTGGGTCTTTCCCTCCTGGTACCCAGTGGAGTCTCCGGCGTCCAGTCTACGGTCTCCGCCAGGCGCCACGTGAGTGGCATGACACACTGAGGACTACGCTTGCGGCTCTTGGGTTCGCTCCTTCTACTGCCGACCCGTCGCTGTTTTTGCGCACCGACACCTCTCTGCCGCCGTTCTACATCCTCGTGTACGTCGACGACTTGGTCTTTGCCACAGCTGACACTACTGGACTCGCCTACGTGAAGTCCGAGGTGCAGAAGAGACACACGTGCACTGACCTGGATGAACTGCGCAGCTACCTTGGCTTGCAGATCACCCGGGACAGAGCACGCCGCACCATTACCCTGACTCAGTCACACATGGTGCAGCAGGTCCTTCAGCGCTTCGGCTTCACGTACTCCTCGCCTCAGGCCACTCCTCTGTCTACTCGCCACTCGCTCTCAGCTCTGCCTTCGGATGAGTCCGTAGAGTCGAGTGGCCCGTACCCAGAGCTTGTTGGCTGTCTCATGTACCTGATGACCTGCACACGACCTGACCTTGCATACCCTCTTAGCATTCTTGCGCGCTATGTTGCTCCTGGGAGACACCGACCAGAGCACATGGCTGCAGCGAAGAGGGTGTTGCGCTACTTGTGCAGTACGTCGGGCATGGGGCTAGTGCTTGGAGGGCGGAGTCCAGTGGTCCTCACTGGACACGCAGACGCTTCTTGGGCTGACGACCAGGCTACGTAGCGGTCGTCACAGGGTTACACCTTCAGCCTTGGTTCCGGCTCTGTTTCGTGGCGGGCTACTCGCTCGTCTTCTGTTCTCGGCTCCAGTTGTGAGGCTGAGATCTACGCAGGGGCCATGGCTGCTCAGGAGCTTCGCTGGCTCACCTACCTGCTGACCGACCTTGGAGAGCCGCCTCGTTCTCCTCCAGTCCTGTACGTCGACAACAAGGCCATGCTGGCCTTCTGTCGGGAGCAGAGACTGGAGCACAGAACAAAGCACATTGCTCTCCGCTACTTCCTTGCTCGTGAGCTACAGCAGCGTGGTCAGTTGCGGCTTGCGTACGTGGCCTCTGAGGCCAACACTGCTGATGTCTTCACCAAGGCACTTCCGCCTTGTGATCATCAGCGCTGCTGTACCCAGCTGGGTCTTGTGTTTGTCTTGCCTCACTTGCTCTCCTCTTGACTCTCTTTGTACTGTTACATATATATATATCACTGCTCTTGCTTGTTTAGTCTTATATATATATATGTACTCCTGCATGTGAACTGGCCTTGTGGCCTTGCACTTGTGCTCAGATTGTGTGGTGACGTTGTGATCCACCCTGAGCTTGCTTTGTTTTGCTTTGCTTTACTTGACTGGTCTTGTGACCCCTAGTTCTCCCCCACTTCGCCTATGGGGGTGTGTCAAACATTATATATGTTGTTGTAGTTGTTTAGGCTACAGTGGGTTAGCCTATAGGGGGTACACATTCCTAGTTTTCCTTACTTGTACTCATTTCACTGTTAGTTCATTCATTCTTGTTCAACATAGTTGTTTGCTCAGTAGTTGTAATCACTTCCACGATATTGCATTCTGCGCACTCTTCTTTCATACAACTTATAACACTTGGTAACTCGCTTAACGCCTATGGTAACTATACACTAGCAGCCCATCACACGAATGGTAACTAGAAGAAACGCTCGCCCAAAATTACGCTGATTCTGGTTTTTCCCGCTCGCGTCAGACTAAATTGACGAATCTTGAAGCAGAAATCTCTGACACACTCTCTGAAATTCTAACATAATTTTCTGAAATTCTGACACACTTTCCAAAATCCTGACACACTTCCCGATTTTCAAGCTAATTGCAAAACGTAAGTGTTGTGAAAACAACTGTTCATACAAAACTGATATTCTGGCGCTCTTTCCGCAAACTATTTGTACTTCATTCTATCGTGGAGCCGGGGCAAACGAAATCTGTAACCCTTTCAGATGGCAAATGAATTTGAGGGCATCAACCCTAAACTCATTGCGACAAGGCGTTTATGGTTCATTTTTTTTTCAAATAAAACATGTAATTCTCAATAGCTGTATTTTTTCCCACATGCAAAAATTCTCCAACATTGCAGTTATTACAAAAAGTGAAGCCCCGAGGTTCTTTCGGGAAATGTTTTTTATCATTTTGCAAGTTCGCAATGATGCTATCAAAAATATGATTTTAACCGTCTTTGCACTATCTACATATATATATATATATATGTATATAACGCCTCTTGTGAGAATAGTAGGTGTGGGGCCTAGGCTTAGTAGCCTAGGCCCACACTAGGAGGTAGGTGGGCTTGCTCTAGAACTAGGAGTTAGGGTTTACGAAGGAGAATTGGAAGGAAGAATGAGTGCACTAGCAAGCAGCAGGACACACAAATAGAAAACCCTAAGGGGTTGTACTCAGTATTGAGCACCCCACTGCAGGCTAGACAAATAACATTCTGACACACCCCCATAGCCAAAGTGGGGTGTAATCAGCAGAGCAGGCAAAGTAGTACAAGCTCAGGGTGGATCACAATGTCACCACACATTCTGAGCACAAGTTAAAGAAGCAATAGTTTAAAGTTAAGAATTATGAGCAAAGCTAGTGGTAGTCACAACGGGCAAGTGAGGAGGAGGAGAGAGAGTGAGGGGAGAGGAGATAGGAGGAGACGGCTGAAGCTGCAGACACACGGGCAACAGGAGGCAGACTGGCACAGCGGCTACCGGACTAAGCGCCCGGACTACAGGAGTAACAGGCCCCGCGGCTGAAGTAGCGGCAGACGAGCAACGGACCCACGGGCGGCTGGCGTAGAAGTCTGGCTCACTGGGCTACCGGGACAGCGCCCCGGACTACAGGTGCTGCGGACTACAGTACGGCAACTTCCATGCAGCTTCCCCAAACAGTCCCACCCCCCTGACACACACCCGCTGCTACACCGCTAGCTCCACTCCCACGCACCCCCCTTAAACCCTAAACCCCAGTCTCCCACACAACCACCCCCCTCAGCGACAGCTGCAGCAGTGGGAGACGAAGGAGGAGGAGGAGCAAAGGGAGGAATGCACACCAGCCACCCCCATACCCGCAAACGGGGGGGGGGGGGAGAGCAGAAACAGTGCTCACGAGGGCGCAGACTATAGCAGAGCGCACGAGGGCGCGAGCACGAGGCACGAGCAGCACCAGGCACATGCAGCACAGGGCAGCACAGGCACGGGCAGCACAGGGCAGCACAGGCACGGGCAGCAACAGGCACAGGCAGCATAGGCACGGGCAGCACAGGCACGGGCAGCACAGGCACGGGCAGCACAGGCACAGGCAGCAACAGGCACAGGCAGCACAGGGCAGCACAGGCACGGGCAGCAACAGGCACAGACAGCACAGGCACGGGCAGCACAGGCACGGGCAGCACAGGCACAGGCAGCACAGGCACAGGCAGCAACAGGCACAGGCAGCATAGGGCAGCACAGGGCAGCACAGGCACGGGCAGCAACAGGCACAGGCAGCACAGGCACGGGCAGCACAGGCACGGGCAGCACAGGCACGGGCAGCACAGGCACAGGCAGCAACAGGCACAGGGAGCACAGGGCAGCACAGGCACGGGCAGCAACAGGCATAGGCAGCACAGGCACGGGCAGCACAGGCACGGGCAGCACAGGCACGGGCAGCACAGGCACGGGCAGCAACAGGCACAGGCAGCAACAGGCACAGGCAGCACAGGCACGGGCAGCACAGGCACGGGCAGCACAGGCACGGGCAGCACAGGCACGGGCAGCACAGGCACGGGCAGCAACAGGCACAGGCAGCACAAACACGGGCAGCACAGGCACGGGCAGCACAGGCACGGGCAGCACAGGCACAGGCAGCAACAGGCACGGGCAGCACAGGCAGGGCAGCACAGAGCGTACCGGGTCCAGGGGCGGCAGCTGCTGCAGGCGCTGGCGGCGGCTGCTGCTGCAGGCTCTGGCGGCGGCTGCTGCTGCTGGGCGGCGGTGGCTGCTGCGGCAGAGCGGCGGCGGCTGCTGCTGCTGGTAGAGCGGCGGCTGCTGCTGCTGGGTCGGTGGCGGCAGCTGCTGCAGGCCTGGCGGCGGCTGCTGCTGCAGGCTCGGCGGCGGCTGCTGCTGCAGGCTCTGGCGGCGGCTGCTGTTGCAGACTCTGGCGGCGGCTGCTGCTGCAGGCTCTGGCGGCGGCTGCTACTGCAGGCTCTGGCAGCGGCTGCTGCTGTAGGCCTGGCGGCGGCTGCTGCTGCAGGGCGGCGGCGTCTGCTGCTGCAGGCCTGGCGGCGGCTGCTGCTGCAGGGCGGCGGCGGCTGCTGTTGCAGGATCTGAAGGCGCCCCGCGGGTCCCGCAGGGGGGGGGTCGCGACGAGCAGGGGCGACGCCCCGCGGGTCCCACAGGGGGCGTCGCGACGAGCAGGGGCGACGCCCCGCGGGTCCCGCACGGACGTCGCTACGAGCAGGGCGACGCCGCGCGGGTCCCGCAGGGGGCGTCGCGACGAGCAGGGGCGACGCCCCGCGGGTCCCGCACGGACGTCGCGACGAGCAGGGCGACGCCGCGCGGGTCCCGCAGGGGGCGCCGTGACGAGCAGCGGCGACGCCCCGCGGGTCCCGCACGGACGTCGCGACGAGCAGCGGGGAGGGCAGCGTGCAGGCCCCCCGAGGGCGCTCCGACGGACGGGGCGCGCGGCGGGCAGAAAAAGCCGCCACGCGTTTGAAGCGCGTGGCGGGATGAAAAAGCAATGCCGCGCACCACGGGGCGCGCGGCGGATAATACGGCAGCGGAAGTAGGTGGTGGGCCCGATGAACTAGGCGGCAGGATCGTGCCGGCTCTAGATACCATGTGAGAATAATAGGTGTGGGGCCTGGGCTTAGTAGCCTAGGCCCACACTAGGAGGTAGGTGGGCTTGCTCTAGAACTAGGAGTTAGGGTTTACGAAGGAGAATTGGAAGGAAGAATGAGTGCACTAGCAAGCCGCAGGACACACAAATAGAAAACCCTAAGGGGTTGTACTCAGTATTGAGCACCCCACTGCAGGCTAGACAAATAACATTCTGACACCTCTGAAACTTTTCTGTCCATGGTAATATAACAAACGAGGTCCTTCAAAGTCGCGGCGGGACTTGTTCAAGAAAGATAAAACTGTGCGTAAACGCTTTCACAATTGATAAATTCCTTTTTGTCAGGTTCGTTTCGGCGGGAGTTTCATGTAGTTACCATTCGCGTGATGGGCTGCTAGTGTATAGTTACCATACGTGTTAAGTGTAAGGAATTTTCCGGATTCCTTAATGGGTCACACTGTACGCGTACAACTCCGACTTTCGGAAAACCAGGCTCGGCCCGCCGACCTCGCCTTCCGAGCCACCACCGCGTCGCTTTCGGGTTTTCCAACCCCGAACCTACACCCAACCATCCCGCGACCCCGCGACCTCGGCCTAGCTAACCTTGCTATATTATGCCTAGGCCTCGTTGTTCATTCAGACGTTGTAATCATTTCCGCACTATTGAGTTTTGCGCACTCTTTCCTTTCACAACTTATGACACTTGGTATCAGAGCCTAAAGTCCTAGGTTACCCTCGCGTTTCCGGGGTAGTTTGTAGAAGGGGAGCGATAGACTTGGTGGGGTGTTAAGCGATCGGCCCGTGGAATAGATCTGATTATTCTACTCCGACTACGATAGCATTAACGCCTTCACCGAAGTCAGAAAAATCGCGAGCCACCCCCTGCCCGTTCGACGAAGCCTGAGGCACATGGAGCAGGCCGAGCTCAACGAGTTCATGCAACAGTTCCGTGCGATGCAGGCCAACTTGCAGGGTATGACTGCAGAGATGGAGCGTCTACGGAAGGAAAACGCCGAACTACACCAGGCGCATGGTGAAGCGCGCCAGGAGTCGCCTGTCGTGGACGACGCAAGTAGCAGCACTACACCAGATGAGCGGGTCTGGAGCGAGCTGGAAGGCGAGATGGATGCGGACGAGGCGAGGCAGGCGCAGCAGGAACAGTCGCCACAACACTCGCGTGCAGTACCGCCACGTGCAGCAGCGACGACGACGGCGACGCCAGCAGCAATGCCAACGGCCCCGATGGCAGCAACGGCTTTCGTGAAAATCAAGCCGACATACCCGCCTCCGTTTAACCCGAGTGATAAGTTTGTCACTGTTTCTGCGTGGTTGTTCGGTGTGGAGGTGTTCTTTAATGCTGCTATGATTTATGACGACGCCACCCGCATTAATTTCGCAGTTTCACTGTTGCGAGGACCTGCGCTGGAGTGGTGGAGGCGAACGCTGCAACACGAAGGGACTTCGGCAGGAACAGCACGTGCGAAAGACGGGACTTCAACACCTGTCACGCATCAGGCAACATCGATTTTTGGGACGGCCACGATACGCACATGGAAGGAGTGGGGCGCCGCCTTGCAAACCAGATTCGAGCACATATCCGCCTCGGACTCTGCTCGCATGCAGCTGCGTACCTGGAAGCAGCTGACTTCAGTCCAAGACTACACCAGCAAATTCTGCAACTTGGCGGACCAGGTGGATGACATGAGCGACGCAGAGCGGTTGGATCGCTACGTGGCGGGCCTGAAATACGAGATACAATACGAGGTCCGACGAACCCGGCCACGAAGCTTCAACGACGCCGTCCGGGAAGCCGAGTCAACGGATGCGCTGATGCAGTGGGCGAGATCGAGCTCCCGGGAGGGCCCTCGATTTCGTGGACCGACTCAGCAAGCCACGATCAACGGCGTGGATGCACCGAGCCGAGCCCTTGGGCCGTGCTTTTTATGCAACCAGCTGGGCCACTTGAAAAAAGACTGCCCGAGGCTTAAGCAGGGGAAGAAGAACGACGGAGAAGGGTCGGGAAAAGATACGAGTCAGTAGCAGACGGGCCACCTACTGACGAGACCCTGTCGCCCGACAATCACCATCCACACCGGGTCGTGGTACCGATCAGAGCTATCGACCAGAACCGGACGAATAACGTGGGTGAACATGTGGACTACCCTGTGCTGGTGGTAGGGAGGGTTAACGGTTATAAGATAAAAATCTTCGTTGACGGTGGGGCGAGCCACAGTCTCGTCAACCTGGCAACGGTAAAAAAAATTGGGGTGAAGTTGACCAGGTGTCTGCCGGAGATCGATGCAAGGTTGGTGGACGGAACACCGCTGGCCATCCGAGATGAGGCGCAAAAAATTCGTATACAGTGCAGCGACAATTTCGGGTTTGGCATGAAAATGTTGGCGACGACGTTGGACGGCTGCGACGTGCTGCTTGGGAGGGATTGGCTGCAGCGTTTCAATCCGACGATCGACTGGACGACTGGGACGTGCATCGTGCGAGGATACGGAGGGAAGACGACGCTTCCGAAATGGACGGAGCCGGAGCCGGTGACGACAGGTGTCAACGCGGTCAACATGCAGCGTGCGATGAACGGCGCAGCTCAGGCCTTCTTGGTGCATCTGTACGAGGTGGCAGCTTCCGAAAAAATCGCGGACATCGACACCCTCTGCGCGGCAGTCCCCGAGGAATTGGCGAGCATCATTCGGAGGTATCCCGAAATTTTTGCGGATGACCTCCCGGATGGCTTGCCCCCCCAACGACCTGAAGACCATTGGATCCACCTGGAGCCAGGGGCGCAACCCACTGTTCGGTCACAGTGGCGGCTCAGCCAACCAGAGCTCGCCGAATTGCGAGCCCAGCTGGATTACCTACTCGCCAAGGGATTTATCCGACCCAGCACGTCGCCGTATGCAGCACCGATACTGTTCACGCCGAAGAAGGACGGTGGCCTACGCATGTGCATTGATTATCGGGCGCTGAATCGGGTCACGATAACGTCGCGTTACCCGATCCCACGAACCGACGATCTGCTGGATCAACTTCGCGGAGCTCGGTATTTTTCGAAAATCGACCTGCGAGGAGGCTACCACCAAATTCGCGTGTTTGCCGACGACTGCCCGAAGACCGCTTTTCGCACATGCTACGGCAGTTACGAGTTCACAGTGATGCCGTTCGGCCTGACAAACGCGCCCTCGACGTTCCAGCTCACCATGAATGGAATTTTTCGAGACATGCTGGACAAGAAGGTCATCGTGTACCTGGACGATATCCTGGTGTACAGCGCAACAAAAGAAGACCATCTGCAGGATTTAGAGGAGGTGTTCCGGCGTTTACAAGGGCATCGGCTAATTACAAAGGGGTCTAAGTGCGAGTTTCTGAAGCCGGAATTGGAATTTTTGGGACATGTGGTCTCTGGCGACGAGATTAAAATCGACCCGCGTAAAGGGGACGCCATCGTTAAGTGGAAACCGCCTACTAATATCTCTGCATTGCAAAGTTTTTTGGGGTTTGTTAACTGTCAGTAGATCTGCACTGTGGATGCCCGATTGATCCTGGAGAGGGTTACAGGCGCGTTCGCCTGGGGGGTTATGGGCGCACTGACCCGCTACTGAAACAAGCCCTTTTATCCCAATGGTCTAGTGGTTGGGATTCTGACATGGTATCAGAGCGGTCTCGGGTTCGATTCCCGGTGTATGCACATGTAGGCCGGTGCCGCTGTGCTTAGTCCTGGGCCTCCCAGTGTGGGGGGGTGTCAGTAGATCTGCACTGTGGATGCCCGATTGATCCTGAAGAGGGTTACAGGCGCGTTCGCCTGGGGGGTTATGGGCGCACTGACCCGCTACTAAAACAAGCCCTTTTATCCCAATGGTCTAGTGGTTGGGATTCTGACATTAACTACGTCCGTCATTTTGTACCTAACATGGCAGGGATAACCAAGCCGCTGACCGACCTGCTGCATCACGACAGTAATTTTCGGTGGGGGGAGAGGGAGCAATCCGCCTTCGACACTCTCAAAAACATTTTGGGTTCACCCCCGGTACTCCGCCTCGCCGACCCATCTCGACCGTTCGAAGTCGTCACGGACGCCAGCGATTTCGCCGTCGGCGCCGTCCTACTACAGGATTTCGGCCAAGGGCTGCAACCCATCGCCTACGAGTCACGCAAGATGCAGCCACCCAAGCGTAGCTACCCAGTCCACGACAAAGAGATGCTGGCCATCGTTCATGCATTTCGTGTCTGGCGCTGCTACCTCACGGGAGCCGATGTGATAATTCGGACCGACCACAAGTCACTACAGTACATGCGCACACAACCGACACTCAACCCGCGACAAATTCGGTGGCTGGACTTCCTCGAGTCCAATTTCCGATACACCATCACGTACAAAAAGGGCGCCAACAACATCGCCGACGCCCTTACCCGACCAACCATGCAAAACGCGGCGGTACTAATCGCCCACACTAACCCGATGCTGACGGGACTATTCACCCACGGCTACAAGATCGACAGGTTTTTTCGGAACCCGCAACAACAGGCTGCTACACCGCACGGCAAATACTACCTAAAAGCCGGTACGAACCGGATTTGGGTACCAGCATACCAGCCTTTACGAGAGCTGCTTACGCAGGAGGTTCATGACTCCAACCTTTCCGGGCATTTCGGCACCGATAAAACACTAAAGCTGCTGCAGAGGAATTCTTACTGGCCGGGCATGCAGACCGATGTACAGCGCTACGTGTCAACTTGCCCGACCTGCCAAGCAATGAAGTCGTCGCGACAAAGGCCAGCCGGACTGCTGCAACCCCTCGCGCCACCCGAACGACCGTGGCAACAGGTGACAATGGATTTCGTTACGGGGCTCCCAGCTGGCGCAAGTGGCAACGACTCGGTGCTGGTCATCGTCGATAGCCTAACGAAGATGGCGCATTTCGCCCCATGCCGAACGACGATCACAGCCGAAGATACAGCCAAACTGTTCATCTCCATCGTCGTACGCCTACACGGGTTACCTTCGGCGATCATCAGCGATCGTGATCCGAAATTTACGTCGAAGTTCTGGCAGGAAAAGTGGGCACAGTACGGTACCCGCCTGCAGTTTTCGTCGTCATACCACCCGCAGACCGACGGACAGACGGAACGGACAAATCAGACCATGGAGCAGCTGATTCGCACCAACTGCCCCGACATTCGCAGGTGGGAAGATTCGCTGCCGATGCTGGAATTCGCGTACAACAACGCCCCATCGGCCACGACTAAACAATCACCCTTTTTCCTGAATTACGGGATAGACCCCGTGGTACCCTCTTCCACGACTGTGGACAACCCGGTACCAAGATCGCAGCAGTTTGTCACGGAACTGCAAACCGCCCGAACGAAAGCAGCCGAGTTCATTCGCAAGGCTAATACCACGGCCAGTCGTCAGGCGGACAAACACCGACGGAATTTACCCTTCCGCCCGGGGCAGGTTGTACGGTACTTCTGGACACCAAGAACCTTCGGTTGCCGCAACCCGCGAAATTACGGCCCCGCTACGTGGGACCTTTCGGATCATCCAGATGGTGACACCTGTCACCGCGAAGCTGCTGCTGCCCGACGATTGGAAGATACATGACGCCTTCCACGTCAGCCTGTTGCGTCACTACGAACAGCCGCAGTCGCCAGCTGTTGCTCGACCGACCCTCGCGCCGACCACTCGCCCCGTGGCAGAGCCCACGCTGGAACCCTGGAAAATTCTCAACCATCGCGTGGACGTGACTGCTGCCGGCCGCTCAGTGAAATTGCTGCTTCGCTGGAAAGACCGCACGAGCGAGGACGACACGTATGTCGCTGCTGACTCGCTTCTGGGACACCCGGTTTTGGACGCTTACCTCGCCCGCCGAGGTGTTTCGGATATTCACCACCTTTCTTAAAGGGGGGGGGGTAGTGTAAGGAATTTTCCGGGATTCCTTATTGGGTCACACTGTACGCGTACAACTCCGACTTTCGGAAAACCAGGCTCGGCCCGCCGACCTCGCCTTCCGAGCCACCACCGCGTCGCTTTCGGGTTTTCCAACCCCGAACCTACACCCAACCATCCCGCGACCCCGCGACCTCGGCCTAGCTAACCTTGCTATATTATGCCTAGGCCTCGTTGTTCATTCAGACGTTGTAATCACTTCCGCACTATTGAGTTCTGCGCACTCTTTCCTTTCACAACTTATAAGGGCGTGTTCCTACGGCCCCTTATCAGGGGACCTCTTGTCAGACTTGTGCGGTTCAATGCGTTTCAGTGCGATCGAATGTTATTAAGAGTGTTTCAGTGCGGTGTGACGCGAATCTGACAAGAGGTTCGCCTGATAAGAGGCTGTAGGAACACGCCCTAACATTAAGCGAGTTACCAAACGTGTTATGCGAGTTACCAAACGCGTTAGCGAAGTTACCAAACGTGTTGAAATAGTTACCGTACGCGTTATAGTGCCCCATGTAAGTTACCATTGAAATATTTTCCCTAATTTTTAGCTCACGTCCAGCATAATAAAACAGCGTAAAGCAACATCACTTTCAATACATGACATATTATAGCTCATCACTAAAGCACGAGGGTTTTAATTCAAGGCCCTAGTTTAGAAACCAGCGACCACAGGCAACTCATCTACCTACGCATATATACGGTACAAATGAAAAGGGCTGGAGAAAACGAGTGACAATTTCCCTCACGAGATGTGAGGTTAACGCTGGACAGCAACACCGATAGAAGCTGGCAGGACCATTGGCAGCAATGGCTGCAGAAAGCTGGAGCAGAAGTTCTGAAATATAAACATGACTGCAGAGCATAGAAGGGACATGAGGCCCTGGAAGCGGAGATGATTACTTGGCTTCAGGGACAGGTTTGTCGGTAGATGACAACAGGGCAGGGACTGTGGTGCGCGCAGTAGTCAGAGACGCTGCCCATCATGTGCTTCAGTCGGTTGAGCGTGCCCCCCTTGCGGTTCCCCACCACCACCAGATCCGCATGGCTCTCCCTTGCCACATGCACGATCTTTTCCCTGTATATGCACGAAGGCAAGAGAGCAGAGGAAGGAGAGCATATCAATCTTAATAGAGAGGCATCTGGGTTATCGCTCACGGCTGCATTGACATGATTACATCGGGTGAAGCGAAAAGAAGGATGCTGCGAAAAAATACTCAAGTCATCTGCGTCGAACCTTTGCGTTATGGCGTTGCAACAATGGCAACGGCTCTGACACCGAGCCGACGACGGCACTCTCACCTGCCATGTACCGTCGGTCGCACGCACCTCGGATCGCCGTCGGTGGACACGAGCGACACGGATGCGACGCCCGCCTCGTGCGCCTTGGCCTCGAGATCCGCGAGGAGCTGCCGGCTTTGCTCGCGCGCCTTGCGTTCCCACATGTTCGCCTCGTGCGCCGACGAAAAAACGCGCTCCGAGCCGGGAACTGTCGGGGAAGGGAAGTCGGAGGATGATGAATAAATATGTTAGGAGGTAAGACTGGGGATGGTAAAATATCGTAGACAAAGTGTAAAATTTTTAAATGCAGGACGCAGAGGTCATTCTTGCGTGTATGGGGTTGACGTTAACTTACATGGCTGCGCGTGTCGCACGTTGAGTATGACGAGTCTGTCTTTGTCCTTGCGCATCAGCTGCGACATGGCGAATTCTAGCATCTGCTCCGTGATCTTGCCCTCGTCGATCGCCACCAGCACCTTACGGGGAGCTTCCTCGACGTCATTGTTCGCCATGGCGTATTGGCTATTACTTTCTATGTAGGATACTCTTTCGTAGAATGAGATGTGCAAGTTTGCTGAATCGCGCGTCAACGATGCATGCTTAGTTTCTCTAGTGTCTTGGAAATGTGGGTTGAATACGAGGGCCCAGGATTTCGGAAATGCGGGGCTGAATAAGCTGTTCTTCTTGGGGCGAAATGTTGTTGCTGAGGAGGAATGTGAATTTGGTAGGTAGGTCTGGTTTCCTGTCCCCGTGGATAAGGTCACTGTTTTGGTTTGATTGGCGTGGTGGTTGTTGGTTGGTTGATAAAAAATGTGAATACGGTCCGCACTGTATTTACTGTCCTATCAGGGATCCAGACCAGAACAGCAAACTTGTCTTGAGAAAAACATACGGTTGAGTACACCTGGAATGCTACATGACTTCGGCAAAGAGAGAAAGGTCAGCCTCGAAAAGAAAGCACTGTAGAGCAGCTGTGTGTGGAATTGGACGCCGCCAAAACCCGAGCCGTCAATGACGTGGGCAGCTCCAGCAATGCAAAAGAATTGCGTTTCTCGAGTCAGCGCACGTGCTGCTTCGCTGGACTCCCAGCACTACAATGCCACACTTCCCTCCCGTCGCATATGTTACCGAACCGAACCGAGACTCCACGACAAAATGTACCCTCTGTACGGTTCTCCGCGTTATTTTACCCAACAAGCGCCCAGAACACTACTTTTGTCGTGAAACTACATTACAAGCTACACAGACATGACATCCAACAGTCAGCAACTGTATTTGCATGTAGCAAACAGCTGCGAAATGAAACGACTACATCATAGCATGGGGAAAAAAAAAGGCCTCTCTCTCCTAAGAATCGAGAGACGTAGCACCAATATCCAGCTCCCGTGAAGGCTCAAATGTTTCCCCCCTTTGAAAAGCATGGATCCATTCAGCATTATCTCAACTGAAGCTCTCGTTAGGCAGGCAGGCGGACAAAAGGTCTAGTCATACTGCACATAGCACACAGCAAAATGGTCAGTTAAGCAGCAGGGAAAGAGGAGCATAGCTTCCGTGTACTGTGCAAGTCATAACACCATAGCAGACCTTTAGGATGACGAAGACGGCATAAAGAATCCCTGGGATGTATCCAAGCAGCGTCAATAGCACGCATATCCAAAACTCGATTTGACACTCCCGTTTCAAAAAGACACCGACTGGAGGCAGGAGGATTGCACAAAGTACCGAGCAAATGTCTATTGCTCTCTCAGACCGCCGCGACCTATCCATCATCGTAAGAGGGAGACGGATCTCTAACCAATGATGCAGATACCAAAAGCCAGAGAAATTGCCCGAAGGAAGATTGCGATGAAAACCAGCTGTTGTAATATGAAGCAGAAATTCACGAGGTATGAAAGCCCAGTCAACACGGGTCGATGAATAGCCTCCTGAGTGAGCAAGAGCTCCACGCTTTCTCTCGCACAGAGGAATCGACTTTCGGACATGATGCTAAATGTCTGGTTGTCGAAATGCAGCAGGAAATTTGCTCGGAAGCGCTCGCAAGTCTGTGCCAGCTGGCAGATGCGCTATGACCGAGAGGCCTACCCGCCATCGGCGGTGTAAGAGCAGCATGCATGGCGTTGGTGGATGTTGTCGAGTCACACGCCGTCCATGCAATTGACCATGCTGTCGAATGAGAGCAGCCAAGATTTCAGATATGAGCTACATTGAGTGAAATGCGATTTAAACTGGAAGGGCTAAATGTATTCGAAACCAAATAAAAAAGGGGACCCAGATGTAGAGTTAGCCTGATAAAGCGGACAGGCTCCACAACTCTGGGAATTGCAGAGTTTCCGAATCTCGTGGAGACGAGGCACGTGTCAAAAGATTGGGTCTGCCACCGACAAGGTCAAGCAAGCGACACGCCTACCCAGGCCTCTCCCACCAGGACACGTAGCTGATGACCCAGCACTCTGGATCGCGACTATTTCCAACCATGCGGGTCGGTTCAGTTACCAACCCTTCCAACCACATTCTGACGAAACCCCTCGCTGTCCCCCCTTTCTCGCCAAACTATTGTACTTCACTATACAATATGGCCCAGCTTCCGCCTGCAGCCAGCCACAGCCGAACACACGCCTCATCAATCCCTGCACCTCAGAAAACCCAAACCTTCACAACAACTCTCCTGCTGTCCCATTCCTGTTATTCCATCCCAATCCCTTTCCCCTCGTCCGATCATTCTGCCTCCTCTTCTGCATTCCACCAGCTCCTTCGCGCCATCCATGCTGTCTCTCCTCCTCCCACAGCCCTGTGCGCGCGTCACATCGCTGCACGCACGAGCTACCGCAGCACGCGCTGCGCGCGGAGCATTCGTTGTCACTCCTGCTTGCAGCAAGCGACGAGCATTCGTTGCTGCGAGCTCTTCATCCTCCCCGTCAAGCCTAGTCCCATTAGCGTCAGCTTCGTCGTCAGCGTCAACGTCAGCCGATCCTCCGGCCGCCACGGGCAAAATGAAGCGAGTCACGTTGGGCAGCTCGGATCTCTCCGTTTCACAGGTAGCGTTTCGCTAGCGGATATGTCTCTTTCAAACATCACTGCCTTTTTTCATCGTCGACTCGTGATCTGTCCCAGTTGGCCTTCACAAGGCCAGACTGTGACCCTATCGTTATTCTGCTGATACACACGTCGCCACCTTTCGTGTCGACTCCAAAGCTACATTCATGGAAGTTTCGCTTTTGTTGACTGCGGAAGGTGCAATGCATGCTTCGCCTTCCGCGTCTCATTCCCGTTCCCGTCTTTTCCGATCCCTTCCTTTCGTCCGTCCGTCCCTCCGTCCCACCGTCCGTCCGTACCTCCGTCCGTCCGTACCTCCGTCCGTCTTTCCGTCCGTCCGTCCCCTTGGGAAACCCTCGCTTTCCTTACCCCCCCCCCCCCCCCCCCCCCCCGCGCGCGGGCGTGTGGCGCGAACGGCAGGCATGCTTTGGTCTGATGACGTTCGGGCAGCAGAACACGGAGAAGGAGGGGCACGCGCTGCTGGACTATGCGGTGTCGCGCGGAGTCAACTTCGTGGACGTCGCCGAGGTCTATCCCGTGCCCATGCGCAGGTGCGTCCATCAGCGCGCTCATGTGGTGAGAGTGCGCGTCGGTGTCATTGCGCGTCGGTGAGTGCGCGAGTGGGTGCCCATGCGCAGGTGCGACCACTTCGACGGCGCCTCTACAGGCTGAGGTGTACACCCCGTGCCCATGCGCACGTGCGATGAGAGCGCTGCTCACGTGATGCCTGGTGCAGTCGCTCTTGCTCACATTGCGGACTTTTCAAGGTGCAAGTGCAGGTGAAGGTGCAGTATTGCTTGCAAACACAGGGCACGAGTGTGCGAGGTGGATGGTGCGTAGTGCATGGCCGCGATGATCCTACATGCATGGTCGGTCTCTATGGTTTGACGCATGAAGCATGGAGTAACGCGCACGCAGCTTGGAGCAATGCAATCGACTCTTATTCCACAATCGAACGCAATCTCATGATCGAACACCGAAACCTTAACGGAACTCCCTCCAGAGTTCCCTTCTTTCCAGTGTTTCCTCCCTCACCATCCCCCCCTGACTCGGTTCTCCTCCTATCTCCCTGCTGCCCCGCCTTCCCGCTCCCTCTCGCCCCCCTCACGATCTTGGTCCACCAGTGAGACAGCAGGGCGCACGGAGGAGATCCTGGGCACGTGGCTCAAGAACAAGGACCGCTCCTCCATTATCGTCGCCACCAAGGTACCCTCTACCCCCCTATCCACCATGCTGCGCTGTCGCTGCGCTTATTTCCTGGTGCTGGTTGTCTGCATGCCGCTAGCACTGGACTAAGGGATTACAATCCAGAGGGTGCAAGCGGAAGAGTGTGTGTTCATGGGGGCGTGGGTAGGGAGAATGCGCAGTGCAGGCACGCACAGGTGGTTGTTGAACCTGCCAGCCATGCTGACCACTCTCATTTCTGATTCCCTCTACTCTATCTCCTCCCCTCTTCTCACTCTCCCCTCTCCCCTCCCCACCCTCCCCTCTCCCCTCTCCCTCCACCCCCTCCCATCCCTCTCTCATCCCATGCGCGGGGCAGGTGGCAGGGTACAATCCAGCGAGCTACACCCCGGGCAACAGGGATCAGCCGCGCAGCAACGAGCTGGCGGACTGCCGGCTGGACAGGGAGAGCATCCGCAAGGCGTGTGCCGCCAGCCTCCGGCGCCTGCAGACGGACTACATCGACCTCTACCAGATCCACTGGTGCGCGTCGAGTCAAATAAGACATCAGGGTTAGCTGACTCAAAGGTTTCCTCCGTCAGGAGTCGATTTGAAAGCCTCAGGCGCCTGCAGACGGACTACATCGACCTCTACCAGATCCACTGGTGCGTCTTGAATCACGTCAAGAGTCGGTATCAAAAGTCACCTCGGTCAGGAGTCGGCTCAGAAACCTCAGGCGCTTGCAGGCGGACGGAATGCATCGACCTCTGCGAGAAACAATGGTGCGACTTCGTTCACCTCAAGTGTCATAATAAGGGTCAACACAAGGGTTGACTCAAAGGCAATCCCAGTGAGGAGTGGATTTTAAGAGCCTCAGGCGCCTGCAGCCAGACTATATTGACCTCTTCCAGATCTACTGGCAGGGTACAATCCAGCGAGCTACACCCCGGGCAACAGGGATCAGCCGCGCAGCAACGAGCTGGCGGACTGCCGGCTGGACAGGGAGAGCATCCGCAAGGCGTGTGCCGCCAGCCTCCGGCGCCTGCAGACGGACTACATCGACCTCTACCAGATCCACTGGTGCGCGTCGAGTCAAATAAGACATCAGGGTTAGCTGACTCAAAGGTTTCCTCCGTCAGGAGTCGATTTGAAAGCCTCAGGCGCCTGCAGACGGACTACATCGACCTCTACCAGATCCACTGGTGCGTCTTGAATCACGTCAAGAGTCGGTATCAAAAGTCACCTCGGTCAGGAGTCGGCTCAGAAACCTCAGGCGCTTGCAGGCGGACGGAATGCATCGACCTCTGCGAGAAACAATGGTGCGACTTCGTTCACCTCAAGTGTCATAATAAGGGTCAACACAAGGGTTGACTCAAAGGCAATCCCAGTGAGGAGTGGATTTTAAGAGCCTCAGGCGCCTGCAGCCAGACTATATTGACCTCTTCCAGATCTACTGGTGCGCCCCTTGAGTCACCTCAAGGAGTCAAATCAAGAGTCATGCCAAGGGCCGGCTTAAGAGTTGACTCAATGGTGACCTCGGTCAGGAGTGGACTTGAGGGCCTCGGGCGAATGCAGACTGACTACATCGACCTCCACCAATGTCTCTGGTGCACGCTCGCTCTTTCTCGTGCTGCTCCTGCTGCTGCCTTCACTTTCGCCTCTTCCTGCATAATAGTGCACCCTTCTTCCTGGTCTCATCCCCTTCTACCCCTTTTCCCCCCTCCATCCCCCGTCCCCCCTCTTCCCTTCCCACCACCTCCTCTCCTCCCACCCAACCAGGCCGGACCGCTATGTGCCCAAGTTTGGAGTGACACAGTACAAACCGGAGAAGGAGTATCCGTCCATCCCCATAGAGGAGACCGTTGCAGCCATGGGGGAGCTTATCAAGGGTGAGAGCGAGTCACACGCCACTTTGATCAGTGACTGACCACTCTGTTAGGGGCCGTTGGTTGGGCAGTGCAATCACCGAGGGGGGGGGGGGGGGGGGCGATGGGCTGTGGGGCGTATGAAGGGTGCTGGGGAGATGGGTGAACACAAGGGGTTATGATGGTCAGGTCAGGGCAGTTTAGAGTGATGGGCTGACCTGCAGCGGAAAGTGGCAGGTGCGCAGTTACTAAGCTTACATCATGCTTGAGACTCGCACTTGCGTCGTTCCCTTCTCCTCCCCTTCCCCTTCCCCCGCACCCACTTCTGCTGTCCCATGCGCCCTTCCACTCTCCATGTGTGGGACACGCACAAAATAGTGTGACACACAGAGGACTGGGCAACAATAGCACCTTGTAGAAGCGGTTCTTGAGGTGCCTCAACTCTTAGTTCGCCCCTCGCTCCCGTCCGCCCACCACACACACACGTCTCTCCCATGTTGCCCACGCAGAGGGCAAAATCCGGCACTACGGGCTGAGCAATGAGTCCACGGTTTGAAAGCGTGCCTTGGAGCACCTCAAAACTCAACTCGCCCCTCGCCCCTGATCCGTCCACCACGCACACACACACAAACATGCCCTCTCATGTCATTCACGCAGAGGGCAAGATCTGGCACTACGGCCTGAGCAACGAGACCACATTTTGAGAGTGTGCCTTGGAAGCACCCCGAACACTCAATTCGCCCCTCACACGTCTACCACACACACACGCCCCTCTCATTCTTCTATTCATGCAGAGGGCAAGATCCGGCACTACGGCCTCAGCAACGAGACCACGTTCGGCGTGTGCGAGTATGTGCACGCGGCGCGGCGCCTGGGGGTGCCTCCGCCCGTGTCGATCCAGAACAGCTTCTCCCTGGTGCACCGCTCCTTTGAGACGGAGCTGGCAGAGGCGTGCGCGCCCAGCCACTACAACATCGGGCTGCTGCCCTGGAGCCCCATGGGCGGCGGTGAGTGCATTCGAGGGCGAGTGTGCGTTAGTGAGCGTGCGTGCCTGTGCCTGTTGAGATGCCTCAGAACGTGGCTCAGTGCCCGCTGCTGCCCCAGCCACTACAACATCGGGCTGCTGCCCTGGAGCCCCATGAGTGGCGGTGAGTGCGTGTCAAAAAGTCAGAGAGGCTGGTCTTTCCATGGCGGTTGCTGAGTTGCTGACGAGCTGCTGACGAGTTGCGGACAAGTTTCTGATGCCACTGCTCCTCTGTAGCAGGACTGTACGTGAGTGGTAAAGGGTGTGAAGCGTGTATGCCCTTATGCATGTATGCCTGCACGAGTGGGTGCATGTGCTGATGCATGTGTGGATACATGGCGAACGCATGTACAAATGTCTGTGTCCCCCATGCCTTGCCGAACCATTACCATATGTTGCAACAAAAACAAGCACTCAACCCCCCCACTTCCTTCCTCTCCCCTGTTCGCCTACGCTCCCTCCCACCACCCTACTCCCCCACACAACCCGCTTCCCCACACAAACCCACTCCATCAACCGAGCAGGAGCGCTATCGGGCAAGTACAACGGAGGCAAGAAGCCGCCTGGTGCGCGCTTCACCCTCTTCCAGGGCTACCAGGAGCGCTTCACCACTGGGGCCATGGCTGAGGCCTCCCAGGTCTACTCCGACTTTGCTGAGAGTGTTGGTGAGTTGAGGGAGAAGACACGCTGAGCGAGGAGAAGGGCCAGTAGGTGTGTGGAGGAGGGGAGGAGGCGAGGAGGCGCTCCACAAGAGAGTACGCACACATGCATTTCATTCACCACAGCGGCTGTGGCTGACTTACACCAACTTTGCTGAAGCGAGTATGGAGAAGGGGCGAGCAACAAGAGGGGAGCGCTTTTACGTGCAGGTGGAAGTGGCCGTGTTGTAGTCCGCTTTCGCCAGGTCTGATTTGCCTGCACATGGATTTCATCTCTGTAATCCCTCCTCCATCCCTCGTCCCTCTCTTTGCAACACATTTCATCCATATCTACTGCTCCCAACCCTGTGCCATGCACAGCCCCACCACACTCATCTCTCTGGACCGTCATACTTCCTCACCTACACCCCTCACCTCCCTCTCTCCTCCGCGCACCAGCCTTGGTCTCCCGCTCCACACTACTCCCTCCTCCCCCTCACCACCCTTTATCCGTCTCCTCCCTATTTCCTATTCTCCTGCTCACCTGCCTCCCCCCCACCCCTGTGCAAGCAGGCATACCCCAGGCGCAGCTGGCGCTGGCGTGGTGCAAGTCGTTGTGACTTTTTAGTAGACGCAATAATCTGTCCCCTCTCCCCACCCATCTACAACCAGGCATCCCCCCGGCGCAGCTGGCGCTGGCGTGGTGCAAGTCGCGGTGGTATGTGACGTCCACCATCTTTGGTGCCACCACCATGGAGCAGCTCAAGGAGAACCTCGGTCAGTGCTGCACACATACGTGCCTTGGGCTCAGTGTAAATTCGGGTGCATGTGCCTTGGGCTGAGTTTAAATTGGGGGGCATGTGGGCTGCCATAGCTCAAGGAAAATCGCAGACAGCACATGCGTGCACGTGTGTGAGTGAGTGGGTGGGCCATTGGCTGGGCTGTGAGACCTCTCAAAAGCCGCAATGGCTATGTGACATCAACCTTCTAAGGCTCCCACCACCACGATGGAGCAGCTCAAGGAGAACCTCACACCACAGTGCACAATGCACCCACATGCCTTGGGTTGGCGTTAGATTGGGAGGTGCTGGTGGCTTCGATTGGGAGGCACGACCTGGGTGCCTGTCTCCTGCTATGTGTGCTCTCGATTTTGCTTGCCGTTTTGTTTGCTTTGGTTGGTTGGGTGTGTGCTTGCCGTGCTGCCGGTTGCTCTGTGTTGAGTGTGTGTTGCGGTGGTGGGAAGTGAGTCCAAGACTCTTGTCCCCTGTCTCCTTCCCACCACCTGCCCCAAGCTAACATGTTTGTACCCCTTCTCCATTGTCTGTGTGAATGCGAGTGTGTGTATGCAGATGCATTTGAGATGGATCTCTCTCCTGAGGTGCTGGAGGGCATTGATAAGATCCACCTGCAGAAGAAGGATCCGGCCATGCTCCTCTAAATGCACCTACAGTCTACACAGACCTTGCATTAGATTCTCCAGTTCACATGCACCGATGTTGAGCACCTCTCCCTTCAACATGGAGAAAGGTCTGGGGGAACTAAGGGGCTTGATGAATGGGCATGAGGATGAAGGTAGGCATTGAACTGAGATGTAAAGGAGGGATGAGATATGTGAATTGCAACCCACATTTACGGCTACTGTAGAGCCTGTATTTCTTGCAGTATCTTCTCTGGTACAAGCAAACTCGTCAAGTCACGACATGCACATACGTTTGACAGCCAAAATGATACCTGGGAAAGCTGGTATCGAGAGTATTCTGTAAGATATATCAAGAATCGAACTCCAGGAATAAACTAAACGTTACACTGTCTTGCGACGTGTTAGCCTTGCAATCTTCCCATCCGTGATCCTTTGACGTTAGTTCTCCCGGTCGGCTGGAGATTAATCTCTCCCTCAATTTCGATATTCCCTGAAGAATAGTGACAGGGATTTAGTGCTGTCTCGCTGGTTTGCTCGGTGTCTAGGATTCCTCGCAGTCAGATCAAACTATCCTTACTTGGTCATTCCATGGATGCGGATAGAAACTCGGTAACCTGGTCACAATTCAGGTCAATTCCCGTGGTTGTGCGGCTTGAGTGACCGATGCCGTGGGTCACGATGATCAGGACGGGAGATCTGACGAGCCGACGAGGTGCAAGGTCCGTGGTCTCGTAGGGAATTCCCCGCAGACTAAACTATCACCACCACCAGCTGCTGCTGCTGCTGCTCGTCGCATTCAGCCTAACTTTACCTGTACAGCCTCCATTTTGGCACAAGAGCGTTAGTTCCGCAAGCGTTTCCCTCTGCACCTTCCGTACCATATATTTTCTAGCCGTCCCGATTCCTCCTGCGCGTTTCGTCGCGTCGATCCGGCTGACGCGGCAGCCATGGCGGCTCGTCCAATGACACCAACGGCTAACGGATCCCAGCCCCAGTCTCAGATCCCCAACGGCACCGGTCCATCTGCCACCGCCACCACCCCCATTTCCGCATCTGCCGCTGCGCCGTCGCTCGCGGAGATCCGTTCCCTGACCGACATCGGCGTGATGACGCGGCTGCTGCACGAAACCGTCGCGCGCGAGCGAGACATTGACAACGAGCTCGCCGCGCTGCTCGCCGCGAGAGGCGGGCTGGAGCGGCGACTCCTGGGCCTGCACAAAGCCGCCACGGACGTCCTCGAATTAGTCCGCACGGACGCCGATGCGGTTCTCGCGTCGGTGTCGGGAACCAGCCAGCTGGCATCTCGGGTCAGCGGGAGCGTCCGGGAGCGTGACGCGGCGCAGTCCCGCGTCGCAACGACCATCGCGCGCATCGATGCGATCGTGGACCGCAGTAACTGCATCACCGGCGCGCGGAACGCGCTCGAAGCGTCGGATTACGAGGCGGCGTCGCGATTCATAGAGACGTTTCTGCAGCTTGACGAGGAGCTCCTCCATCCCACCACGCCGCGCTCCCCGATTGCGGCGGCGGACGCGGCGGCGGTGCTCCTCGGGCAGGCCCCTCCGCAAGCGCAGGCGGGGGCGTCCCCGCGTGCGATTGACTCGCAGGCGGCGGAGACTGCGCGGGAGCAGCGGAGGCAGCTGATGGAGTCGAAGGTTAAGCTTGAGGGGGTGATCCGCAAACGGTTTGCGGCGGCGGCGGACGAAATGGACCAGGCGGGGGTGGAGCGGTTTGTGCGCCTGTTTCCCCCGCTGGGGCTGCAGGCGGAAGGCTTACGCGCGCTCGTGGGATATCTCCGGAAGGTCGTGGCGGTGCGCGCGCGTGAGCAATTCGCGGCGCTGCTTTCGACCCTCGATGTTGCCGCCAGCACCGCCGGCGGCGGCGGCGCAGCCGCCGCGATGCTTGCCGTCTCCCCGCAGGCGGATTTCGCGGAGGCGCTCACTGCGCTTCTCCGTGATGTGGCGCTCGCTGTAGAGAGCAACGAGGAGCTCCTTAAAGCGGTTGCCGGCGAGGACGGCGTGGTGGCGGCGATTAAAGAGCTCCAAGCTGAGTGCGACGCGCGATCCGCCGCCATTCTTCGCAAGTACGTCGAACATCGTCGCCTGCCACGCATGGCGAAAGAAGCGGCGGCGGCGGCGGCTGCAGCAGGGTACACACTCGGCAGCACCGGCGGCGGGCAAGGAGGGGGTTTCAGGGCAGCAGCGGCAGTAGTGACTTCGGACGGATCGGTGGTGGGACCGAACCCTCAAGAGGTGGAGGCATGTTTGGAGGAGGCGCTCTTGCTCTCCCAGCGCAGTCACGAGTACGCGCGGTTCATCGCCGCGAAGCTTCGCGACGCGGAAGCGGCGGGTGCAGGGGTCTCCCCGCGCACCCTCACCACCTTCGCCAGCTTCGCCGCGCCCAGCGGAACCGGCGGCGGCGGCGGCGGGCCCGGCAGTGGAGGAGGAGGCGGTGGAGGGAGTGGTGTGGGCGGCGGCGCGTTCGGGAAGATCCTAGTGGACGTTATGGGGTTCTATGTGACTTTGGAGGAGTATTTCATGGTGGAGAACGTTGGGAAGGCTATTAGGATAGATGAGCCCGTACCGGACTCGTTTACCTCTTCTATGGTAGACGACGTGTTCTTTATTCTCCAGAACGGCACTCGCCGCGCCGTCGCCACGTCATTCCTCCCTGCGGCCGCCGCCGTGCTAGCCGCCACCGCCGCCGTCCTTCGCGCGGACCTCCGCGACGCGCTGCAGAGGAGATTAAGAGAGCCTAACCTCGCGGCGCGGCTGCTGGCCTCTGTGGCGGCTAGTGCGGCGGCAGGTGCAGGCGGGGTGGCGGGAGTGACGGGGGGAGTGGGTGGAGGGGCGGGCGGGGTGGGGGGAGGGGGGGGGGGGGGGGGGGGGGGGGGAGGCGCAGGGGGGATGGGCGCAGGAGGCGGGGGGTCGGAAGCGACGCTGGCGCTGGCGCTGAACAACGCGGATGTGAGCGCGGAGTATGCAATGAAGCTGAAGCAGGAGGCGGAAGAATACAGCCTCGAGGTGAGCGGGGGAGATGAGGGGCATGGGGATAAGGGACGGGGATGAGGGGCTGAAGATGAGGGCCTGGGGCTGAAGGGGCTGGAATTGAAGGGTTGGGTGACAAGGTATGGGAGACAGGGGCAGAGGCGGGGGAGGGATGGGGATGACGACAAAGTTGGAAGTAGTAATACGTCTAGGGCTGTGAGTGGTATGTGGAAGGGAATGGGTTGAAGGGATGGGAGTGTGTACGTGCGAGGTGTTTTGTGAAGGTGAAACAGGTTCCAGGGGAAGCAGAGCGTAGAGGTGGGGGTGTTGACAGTGGGATGAAAAGGAACATGCTGGCTTTTGTTGATGGCGTCTGTGTGAGCACGGGTATGTGTGTGCAAAGGTTTGTGTGATTGCCTATGTGTATGTTTGCATGCGCGTGTGTGTTGGCGCGTGTATGTGTGTTAGCGTTCGTACAAGCCTGCGTGTGTGAATCTCTCATATTGCAATGCAACTCGTGCAAAGACGCTCTGGAGTCGTCCTGAAACTCGTACCTACGCCCTGGTAGTGACCTGTGTCTGTGGCTCTGACCTCTCGTCTCGAATATTTGATCCGCTGGGGCTGTGGGTGAGGCAGTGGCCTGTGTCACTTGCGTGTCAAAGCAAGTATGTTTACAAGGAGTTCCCAGGCACTTGAGCCCGTGTGCTGAATCAGTTTTTTTAGAATTCTAAAAAAAAGGTGCAGGCAGGGAAGGTTTTCCAGCTATTTGTGGCCCATACAGCAGGATGCACCCCTACCTCCTTCCCCACTTCCTCCGCAGCCCCTTCACCCTGACGTACTCCCAGTCCTCATCTCTCACAGTGCATGCAGAGTCTCTACATCACTGCCTATCACTCACACGCAGTGGCCTGCCAGCATATTCAGACCCCAAACCATCCCACGCGCTCTGGAAGACTCCTGCTCACTTTCCTACTAATCGTAACTCATCACCCCATCGCCTCCTCCCCTACCCCTCCCCCGTCCCTCCCCACCCACCAGGTGTTCCCCGCGCCAGCAGACAGGGAGCGTCTGAAGCCCATACTCGTCGACCTGGGGGAAACCAGCGCCGTGTTCCGCCAGGTAGCATCCACAGGCTTAGAGCAGCTGGCCAACGGCATCGCACCGCGACTCCGCCCAGTCCTCGACCTGCTGGCCTCGTCCATCTCCTACGAGCTCTCTGAAGCAGAGTACGAGGAGAGAGAGGCCAGCGACCCCTGGGTGCAGCGGCTCCTGCTCGCACTCGAAGCCTGCCTCGCGCCGCTACAGCCGCTGCTAACCGCGGCCAATCACGACGGGCTGGTCGGGCTGGTGACAGATATGGTGGCACGGAGGGTCGAGGCGGCTGTAGCGCAGAAGCGGTTCAACCAGCTGGGCGGGCTACAGCTGGACCGGGAGGTGCGGACGCTCGTGGGTCACCTGTCCGCGCTCACGTCGCGGTCCGTGCGTGAGAAATTCGCGCGGCTGACTCAGATCGCCACGGTGCTGAATCTGGAGAAGGTGGGGGAGATTTTGGACTACTGGGGGGAGAACGCGGGACCAATGACGTGGAGGCTGAGTGCTGCGGAAGTGAAGAGGGTGCTGGGGCAGCGGGTGGACTTCCGGCCTGAGGCCATTGCCAACCTGCAGCTGTAGCTGCCGGGGTGCCAGGCTACCAGGGCTGTTGCTGTAACAGGCAAAGTGTAGCTGTTAATCTGTAGCGCTGAGTTCTGGCGAGGTGGGTGGTCGATAAGGTGCTGGGGCAGCGGGTGGACTTCCAGCCCCTGAGGCCATTGCCATCCTGCAGTTGTAGCTGCCACGCTGAAGCGGGCAGCTGTAGAGGCAAGTATTTAGCGGCGAGCTGTAGTGGGCTGCTGTAGCAGCTAGCTGTAGCGCTGCGTTGTGGGAATGAGTTGTGGCGAGGTGGGAGGTGAAGCGGGAAGGAGGAAGGCTCTCCAACAGCTTAGCAACGACATGGCGCTTTGTATGACCCAGGGCATAAGCGCACAGGCCCCG